AGAGAGAGAGAGAGAGAGAGAGAGAGAGAGAGAGAGAGAGAGAGAGTAGGCTGGTGATGATAGGCTAGACTAGGAAAGTACTGCCGGTGTTCATACCAGAGCTTATGTTGTATTGATGGAGGCCTGAGAAGGGCTGCCCAAGTGTTCAGTGTGTTTAGTTTCGTGAACTTGTGTATGGATTTCAACGAGTTCTTACAGTTCAAAGTTTTTGTTTCGTGGCTCCAAGTTTTCGTTTCGGCGCATGCTGGTTCCTTACATTTTTGTATCACAGCGGTACCTGTGACTGTCAGCATCCAAGCTGGTGGGCTAGAAAGCGTGGTACCAGCACTTGCTGACAAGTGGTGTTCAGTTCTCGTGGACTGGCTGTCCCATCTCTGGTCGAGAGCGGGCAGGCGGAATAATGCTGAATTATGTGGCAAAGTGGTGAGAGTACCACATAAGCTTGGCGTTGCTTGAGGCGGTACTTGGATCGCAATGCCTGTAGTTCCACGGTCATCAACGGCTTCATCATCGTCAGCAGTTGCTTTCGTAATTTGTGGTTTGGGCAGCATATCCGTCCTCTAATCTTCACACCTTGACGAAGAGCATTTTATTTGAGAGTTGTCTCATTGGTGAGGCACGAGTCTGTGCAACCTTGAGAGTCATCCCACTCCTTGCGCAGTTGGTGGGAGTAGGGTGATGTATGGAAAGTGCCCCGCAGATGAGGTGAAGCACACTATGTTCGATAGTTGCACATGCATGTGGAGATCACACCCGGCTCAAGCAGCGCAGTAGAAGGTATCTTGTGAGTGACCTCGCTGCCGTATTGCGATGTTTAATAGTCTTGAGGGATCTTTGTCCCGTTGTGATGTTAGCTATCTCGCCAGTGGCCCGTGACTGCCTGCCCGGCTGGGTAAAAATTCTATTAGAAACAACAAAAACAACTGCAAGGAATATGAGCGAGAGCGATAGACAGAAGTCCGGATTGCAAAATCACGAAGTAGCCCAGATAGTCATGTACCGAGCAGAGAGCACAATGCACCAAGGTGCCATCCAAATAAGAGCAATACAATGAACTCACCAAGGTACCATCCAAATAAGAGCAATACAACGAACTCATATGTCAATGTCGACGCTCTTGGTCTTACCAACACAGTATCCAATGTCACTCCTACTGTCTGGCGCCCACCGCCCAGCCTACACTACTCAGCCTATCTATGCCTACCTACGTTCATGCAACTGGATCACATCGAAGTCGAAGACCAATGTACGTGATGTCATCACCAATGCAGACTGCCAGCATACACCAGATACGTTCTCTCTCCTCTGACATCACCCGTTGACTACCCACACTGTGCATTCCCGACACCCAAGGACCACCATCACCATCACCAGCCTCCGCTGAGCAAGCCCAGCTATGGCTGCTCAGCACCTTCTGCACCAGAAGTGCCCAACACCACAATGCGCCCGTGTGCGCCTCTTCCCGCCCTTGGACTACCAGCGGCATCCAGCGCTCAAACCAGCAGCCATGCCACCGGCAACCCACAGCCCGAATCTCCTGGCTGGGCAGGGCAGTGCAACCTTGCTTCTGGCTGCTTGGGCCTAGTGTGCGTGTGCCCCAGTAGCTTCAATTTGGGCCAAATTGTCTTCATCCAGGCCCAATTTAGACAGTTGCCTTGGCTGGCAGCAGTTAAGCTGCCCAACTGTGGCATAGGCCTATACTGTTGACGACCTCACTGTGGTAAAGGCCTGAGCACCCAGACCCATTCACACAACTCCGATGTTGGCCAATATCACACAACTGTGGTATAGGCTTAATACTGTTGATGACACAACCTGAAAACCACAACAGCTTCCAGAAGAGCCTCAGTGCCTGCGGCCAGGCCCCCATTTGCTGTTACGGGCCCGGTCCCTTTACAGTTGGACACGCCCAGGTAGCCCACGAGGCTACAAGTGTTCGATATCTCATTGGCTCGTGGCAGGTGTATGACGTCGATGCTGCATTCTCATTGGTCCATGGCCTCTGAGAAACTTGTCGGCTTCTGGTTGTGTGCCCAGGGCCACAACCCAATGAGCCCTGGACTAACTGTCCCACGCAGCAGCTGCTTCCGGAACAAGCCAGAGAAAGGCTCACGTTACCCTGTAACCATCTGGCGTGCTGCAACTGTCTGACAAAAATAGGCCTCTCGTAAATATTCTGGCCGCCTTCACTTAGGGCAGGCACGTCTGTACGGGACCTCAGCCGAGATGTGGAGTGAGCCCTAGAAGGGCCACTGCGAAGATTCATGCCCGCATATAGCTTCCAACAGCCTTTTAGCGTGATCACACTGGCCTGTACCCAGGCCTTGGCACATATTGGCCGGCCAGCCTTCACGTAGGGCAGCCAAGGCCTTTTCCAGCACTGCCGAGGTCTCAAATCCTCGCACAACAACAACAACAACAATACTAATGGTTTTTAATGTTTAAATTGGCAAAGAATTTCGATGTTACCCTGAGGCAAAAGCTGTTCTTTACCAACTGGCCTAGCTCAGTTGATACACCCCTGGAGCATGGCCCCACTTGCAACGGAATAGGATAGAAAAGAGTTTGTGTGGCAGTAGAGCGACGCAAATCCTGCACTGCAATGAGTCATGATCCCACGGTCAGTATTATACACGTATTACCTAAAAACAGAAAGACATGTTAGCCCCCCCCCCTCTCTTCTCCTTAACACTGGGCATGCAAGTGCACAGGAAGTTTCCCGCCAAACTTATTTCTAGCCAACGGGGGGTATGGCCGATCCAGGAGAGAGGGCTGGATCGGCCATACACCCAGTGGATAGGAGATCTTAACTATTCTGCGTTCCATTGTGCAATAATCCCCTTCTCTGAAGCACTCCTTCAATCACGGAGTGTATGTATGGCATCATCATCACCCCTGACAGAAGTCTTGTTTATTTCAGAGAAAGGTGGCAGTTACTTTTTTTGTTTATTCCAGAGAAAGCTGGCAGTTACTTTTTTTCACTGTTGTTGCCACCTTCGCCATCAGACCATTTGTGATCTGATGGCTGGGAGGCACTTCAGCGCTATTTCCGGGCATGAGGTCTCTACCTTTTTTTTTTTTTGGCAGCCTTTCTCTTGTTTCCTCATGCCAAATATTTTTGATGAATCTGTCGGGTGACTGCCACACAGTGCCACACTGGATCGACCACACTCCTATCCGACTGCTAATGGGACCACACTCCTGAAATGTTGAAACACAGACCTGAGTTCGAACTCCGCCATGCAGATGAGTAAAATACTACAATTGTAAATTACCTACGGCCAGTCAGTTCAACGATAGTATCTAAAGGCCACTGCCCTTCAAAAAAAAAAAAAAAAAAAAAAACTTCTTCAGCTTATTTTTCTGCACAACTTTTTTTCCCAGATTTTTTGAATTTCTTTTTTCCAAACAGACGTTCCCTGGCCCTTGTATTTTTCCAACCATCCTGATTTACGTTGCCTGGGCGCGGGTCAGTACTACAGCACTCCAAAGGTTTATTTTTCTGCAGAAGTTTTTTTTTCTCTTTTTTTTTTTTTTTAGAGGAACCTTCGCTGGTCCTTGCCCGGCTTGGCCCCCCAGGCAACCAAGGTGACCCGGGTGGCCGAGTTGGTAACACAGGATGCTAAATAATTCCTCAGGGATTGTCATCCTGCTGCAAGGTTAAATAATTACAACAAGTCGAGGCATGCCACGGTCCTGCCGCAGCAGGGAAGATGATGAGGCACATGTGTTTATGTTTGGCTGTCTTTGGAATTTTTCATGTTTGCGACACCGAAGGGAGGTTCGAACATGGATCCAAATGACATGGCCGCCCTCTTCCTAGGCCACTTCCTCCAGTTCTGCTGCATTCTCCTCCTTTCCCTTCGCCTTTGCCACGTCCTTCTTCTCCTCTCTCCTACAATGTCCTCCTAGCCCCTCTCCTCCTCTGCCAACTATGTGGCCAAGCCAAAAGGAAGAAAACAGGCCTT